TTACTGTCACTAACCTTTATCAACCTCATTCAACAGCTATATGAAGACGCCATATTGCCAGGTGATCCACAATGGTAAGCTCAGTGACGCCTTTGAAGTGTGGACAGGAGTAAAACGAGGCTGCCTACTATCACCCATGATATTTCTGATCGTAGTTGACACGATCATGCAACAAACAGTGAGGAGCGAGAAGAGGGGTATACGCCGGACCGAGGAGAAGAACCTAGAAGATTTGGATTTCGCCGATGATGACTTGTGTCTGGTGTCGCACAAACTGGAAGATCTACAGGCGAAAACTAACAAGTTGACTGAAGAGGCAGAGAAGACGGGACTTCAAGTGAACGTAGAGAAGACAGAGGTGATGAAGATACCCAACCAACAACAGCATCAACAATAAGCACCAGCCACTATCAGCGGGAGAAATTTAAAGGAAATAGTCTCTTCCACCTACTTACCTACCTACCCACCTACCTACCTAGGCAGCATCGTTTCAACTACAGGCGGCGGTATGGACGAGGATGTCAAAACCAGGATCCGAAAAGCAAGACAAGCGTTCATTAACCTGAAACCAGTGTGGAGATCTGCACTCCACTCAGCATAAAGCGTGAATAAGATCCGGATTTTCAACACCATTCCAGTCAAGTAAGTCAGTGCTTCTATGTGATGATTGAGAGACTTGGCACGTTACGAAAAGCATCTCCAACAAACTACACACACACATCAACAGCTCCCGCCTACACTCACTCGATACTGAAGATCAGATGAGATGGCCAGAATAATAAGAATAAGCAAGAAGGAACTGTGGCTGGCTGGCAATGAACCAACCAAGCAAGAACCCATCATCTAATAAATATGCAGAGGGAGAAAGTGGAGATGGATTGGATTGGATTGGGCATACACTGAAAAAGCCGACTGGGAATAGCACGAGCCAGGCCAGGCCGTCAAGTGGAATCCAAAGGGGAAACGACGAGTTGGGCGTCTGAGTTGAGGATGACATGGAGGAGATGGTGTGAGGAAGAAATAAAAGCTTCTGGGCAGTCGTGTAGCCAGGCTGAAAAGGCTGCAGATAACACAGTGCAATATAGACGTGCTGCTGAATCCCTATGTTCTACTAGGAACCCCAGGGAAAAATAATGATAATAATAATAATAATTGTTTTTAACTTAAAATTGGAGTTGAGGAAGTACCTGTAAGTATATTGTTTTTATAAACAAACTATGGTTTTATCATATGGTAAATAACTGAATTGTTGCTGTAAGATACCAGTATACACTGTAAGCAGAAATGTTATTGTCCGCAATTAACTTACTTAACTTGCTTACTGTGTAACTGATTCGCATTCATTTCTCTAAATAAACATTTATATTGAATAGCTAGCATAGCATAGAACTCCAATTTTCTTTTCTAAGAAAAAGAGAGTTCAAATATGGGCGTAACATAAACAAGAAAAGAAGGGAGAAATCAGTTTCGTCAGTTTTTATAATTGGAGATATTAACTGACAAACGTCTGTTACGACTAGAGAAGACCTCAATAATAATAATAATAATAATAATAATAATAATAATAATAATAATAATAATAATAATAATCATATTAATAATAAAAGACATTACTTAAAGTTGGTAAAATAGTTGCAGCATAGTTGTTTCATAGTTTCGTCACTACTCAACTGTGAATCATTATTAGAATTTGATTGACAGATAGGTGTTAATTCCAATCATTTTTATAAAACGACTTTGAAGGCTAACTTAGCAACTGATGTAGTAACCAATCAGGTTCCGTTATTTCGTCTTGGAAGGTAATGTTTCATACAATAAAGAAACGTAGTTAATTATCTTAGGGGTTGTTAGGATGACCTTTAAAATCATTTCTTTTCATTTATTTAGTTTCTTTATCATACTATGGCCTTTAATGAATTAATAGGTGGCCACAAATCACCAAATATTCTCAGTTTCGTCTCGCAATAATTTTATGGTATTGGAAAGATCATAGAGTACTGATAGGAGGTGGCGTATTACGGAAGTGATTGGTTTCAAATTACTCATCTTATCTGAGATTTATAGCAGGTAGAGAACGATTGAAAACCAAAGAGAATTGGACATAGGCTTCATCTAAGCTGTAGACACTTCAACACTCCATACAATGATCCTGACAAACAAAGCCAGTAGTCAGGACTCTCAGAGAGTGTGATACCATCCAGTTACTGTGTTTTCAAACTTTCATGAATTCTAGTGTAACTTGATTTCTTTCCGATATCATTTACTCAACAAGTGGTGGCTTTGCATTAAAAACAACAACTGAATCACTTGATTATTAAGGAGCATGTAGGTAACTAATGTTAAAGTATGCCGTCTTTACTTCTGGTCACGAGATCTAATGGTCTTAGACCGTGTTTCAGTTGAGTGGTGGGTGAACTCTGTTGAAATCATCTCATATCAGTACACGATAGATACTTTCAAATGTTTACTTTATATGAAATAAAGACGTAATACTCTAGCTTTCAATACGCTTAATGTGATGGAAGTGTTTTTCAGGCTGGTATTCTTGTAGGAACCTGTTACTATCACCTTGAGTTTGACTTGAAACTTAATGAAAACAGTGATTCCATGAACTTATTTTATCCAGTTGATTAGTTTTTTGGTATAGAGTAGTGTTGGCAAGATATCCGATTACCTATCAGAGGACGAGTGTACTGCACTGCAGTCCATTCTGTCCTGTTATACAGATGTGAGACATTGAGGGTAAAAAGTAGATGTGAGGCTACTACAGGGTTTCGAGCAAGGATGCCTTCGTAGAATTGCTCGTGTTTGGTGGAATTAGCGTTTGCGAAATGCTGAGGTCAGGCGAAGGGTACTGGGCAAGACAAGCAAGTGGATTGTTGAGATCCTTCATCGGCTGAGGTGGCTTGGATATGTGCTGTGCATGTGGAACTACCGCCCGTCTCTACATGCTAAGCTAGGGAGGGTGGGTCAAGTTGAAAAACGGTTCAGAGTGGCCAAAACAAGACATAGCACCAGTTCATGAAGATCCTAGCTGTTGGTCTGAGCCATATGGGGGGATATAGGCTGCCTGGCTGGGATTCGGGAGACGAAAGAAATCAATGGTTCTGCAATCTTAGTGACAAGCCTGAAAATCGGCCTCAATGGTACAGATCTATTCGCTTCTTGACACCTTCTAAATTTTGGATATTTGCATGAACATTTATCTTCAATATCTTCAAATGGTTTATTCTCTTACACAACTTTGTATACTTTGATATCACTCTATCCACCTTTTCTTTGTGTAGTATTAAGAAAAGTGGCAAATTGAACTGACACACCACCTGTTTGCGAGGTTCCATATTGGTTTTGTCAGCGTCATTCATATAGTTTTGGCAAAATTCCTCATGCTGAACAGTTTTATTTCAATATTTGATTTATTTATCAGAACCGTTTGTGAGTCTTTGTTGTTTTTATAAATTGATTGCTACTGTCAGGTTCATGAGACATGTGCATCTTAATAAATTAGGTTCTCTAAAATATCCTAAATGTAATTCCATATTAGACTTGCTTATTTTATACAGCATACAGCGATGTAGTATTATTTACCAGTAAATTCCAACAGGTATCTCATCCAATATCAGTTAAGGTTTAGTCAAATGTTTCAATAATTGAGCTGCAAAACTCACTAGTCAATGCAATGACTTCAAGAAAGAATTGAAACACATAAGATAAACACTGCCAATTAATATTTCTCTTCTAGAGTTTATTAATAAACTTGTAAGAGTACATAAAAACCAAAGTCATACCAGTAATATGAATACGAATAATAGCGATAACACGAGAAGAAAGGAGATCAAAGCCTCTGTATAATAAAAGAACATCAGAAACTTTACATGGAATTCTCAACGGAGTTGGAATTAGTTTGGAATTTAAACCTACAAACTCACTAAGAGATAAGCTTTGTCGGTTTAAGCATCCGATAGGTCCAATTCGGCAATGACTGAGGTCAAGTACATAGGTCAAACTAGCCGATAAGGGTCAGTTAGATTAGTGGAGCATGAGGATTTAGCCAAATGTAGAATGACAGACCCCGATAGGAATAACAATTCAGGAAAAACTCAGCTATGTCAATGCATGCATTAACATATAACCACACAACAGGGTGGGATAAAACCACTGTACTTAAATCCAACATAATTAAGTGGAGAGAGAGAGACAGATAGAACACTGAATCTTTGATCATCGAATCAACACCCACCCAACACATGTAATAGGAATGCCGTGACATTTATACCAGAGATATGGAAAACTTTACTACCAATAAAAACAGAGAATATCAGTTGATAGGACTATAAAAATCAGATGTCGAAAGTTGTGATTACATTGATATTATTATGAGTAATAATGTGTGGTCTAAACGTCATCCAGCAAAAACAATACTCTACTACTGTGTGTTATAAATCGAATAAACAAATCTATAGTGGAATTCTATTCTACCATTGCCCAAACTTTACACTTATATTAGTCATAGGTGTAACTTGAATAGATCGTGTATATTTGACAGAAATTCAGTGATATATGAATAAAAATCGGTTAATCTATGTATTATTATGTCGGTGAGAGAATCATTTAGTAGAAGAGAAACTTTGTCTAATTAATTCTTGTGGACAAAGTTCATTATAGATTGGCATTGAATAGAGAATCTATGGTATTGATTCACTGAATAGCTGTTTATCTTTTGATATAAAAGTAAAACTTGTGCTCTGTAGTAGAACGTAATTCCATTTTTATTGATTTATTAGATTTATCACACAGTGGAAGAACAGTATTGTTTACTGGATTAGGTTTCGGATATAATTTATTGTCAATAGTCATATCAAGATAACTACACAATTTTGAGATATCCTAAATATAATCCAAATTTCCTCGCCCCTTCGTGAGATGGGTAGTAAGATTTTCCACATATCCGCAACAGGTGCAGAAACATTTCTGTTACTGCATGTATTAGGTGTTGATTCGTTAAACAAAGATTCAGTTGTTATTCATTGCAGATTGACATCAGTTAGAGGAACAAAAGAAACCTGGGAGCACTGAACGGCTGTTTCGTCCTAGTATGGGACTCCTCAGCAGCATGCACCCACGACCCTGCAGGGATCGGACCCGTGACCTTCAGGTTCCGTGGCCAGTACGTTACCATTGAGCTAGGTCACAATCCAATGGTCCATATTTCCAACTTCTGTTAGCTCACAATATAGCGTAACCACCACCCAATGTCATCATTGAGTAACTGTCCTCACGACCATAAGGCTTTGCCCCCACCGGTCACGACTTCCATTGTTCCTCCAACTGATGTCAGTCTACGATGAATAAAAACTTACGATATTTCCAAATCCCCACAACTCCCTCAAAGATTCAGTTATCAATCTCTCCCTTCACCCTGCTACATTTTAGTTTTAAGGATTTTTACCCTGTTCCATTCTATCTGTGTACATTGTGTGTAATCGCATGCGTAGCTAAGGCTAAGCTTTTTTCTAAATTCCATACCTTGCTAAGATCTACTAATTTTGACCCTGGCCGACTATTTTAACCTGTGTATTTGCCCTCGCAGTCGTTGCAAGGGATTTGGTAAACTAAGTTATTCTGCTTAGTTGGGTCAATAGGATCTTTTAACCTATAAAGCCTATTTAGAAGTGAGTTTTTAGGTTCGAATGCCACTCTAATCCCAGCCTTATTGAGAATTCTACGTAGTGTTTTTGAGGCGCCTTCTTTGTATGGCAATACTGTGGTGGTTTTGAATTCTCTATTCACAGAATCCACAATACTAATGGTGTTGATAATAATGTTGATAATAGCAGCGCCAATACTATGAATAGTGTCACTTTGTATACATTACATTCACGAATACGTTTTCAAATTTCGCGGTAATATAGAAAACGGATAAACAATGTTTGACAGTGAAGTAATCCGAAATATTGTTTTCCCCTTGAACTGACGGAATATACCCATTTATTCCTTAATAAGAATAAGGCATGTATCAGCGAAGAAATATTTCTTTTCAACGACTTCATTATGAAACTGTACAGTTGTATTTATACTCGAAAATGACAGATAATTGCACTAAAAAGGAAGTTGCTCAGTCAATATGGAAAATATACAGTCGGTGTAGGTGGTGGTATTTGTTCAAGTGGAACAGATAGAAAATGGGTCATTGAAAAAGTAACGAATTGATAACAAGTGGTGAGGTGAGCGACAAGTGCTGTCAAAGAATTGTAAAATGGTGATAATTAATCTGAAACGTGTACAATAGGTCAGTGATTAAGGAATGAATTGATATTAAGTAGTGAATTATGGGTCAAATGTTGTCAATGAAGTGAAAATTGGTGATAATGATGATGATGATAATAGAAGAGAAGTGTGCCAAAGTGAAGTGAACTGAAACTGACAAAATAAGCAACAAGGTATTATTGAGGCCAAGGTCGAGAAAGTGGTTTCACAAAACGTTTTTGAATGCAAAGTTTCGGTTTTCGTTTAGCTTCAGCTATGCATGAGTGGTGGAACTGTGAACCTTTGTAGTAGTTCAATTTAACTTTGTAAATTACTTTGAAGGATGAATGTCGATGTTCTGAATGACTTAATTCAACTAGGTAAACACACATATGGATGAAGTCGTTTTCATTTGCTCTCCTCTAGTAAGTCGAACGGGATAGTGTTCAGTGAGACGTTTTCTTGAGGCCAGCTTACAACGCCCGATATAGTGATCTCCATAGGAGCATGTGAACTTGTAGATACACATAGATGTGGACATAAGTGGAATCCTACTCTTCGTGCATTGATGAATCAGATGGCAGTTGGAGAGTATTAGTCTGAGTGTAGCAGCAAAGAAGCTACTAATGATGCAACTTGACAGATGGTTGTTTAGCACTTCGTCTTTGGTGTCTGCTTTGAATTCCAGATTCATGGTTAAGATTTTCTTAGGAACTGTAATGGGATTGAGAGTTGTTCATTTCTTCAGATTCTTATCAATAAATCTTTAAGGGTATCCGTTATTAGATAGTATTATTCTAAGAGCTTCGATTTCAACATCCACCGTGTCTTCTGAACATATTTTATAAATTCTGGAGCATCGCAAGTGAATGAAATTTTTTTTACAACCAACAAGTACCCAACTATTAAAGTTAGTGAACTTGAAGTAGGCGGCGCAAAAAACAACACACAACACTGAAAAGCATGCACGAATTTATTTTTTTTTCATAGCTCAGTATAGTATAGTAGTCAAAAATACTTAAAAATTATTTGAGTAGACAAAAAAGGTAGGCACAGAATGTTATCTATTTGATAAATGGTGAAACTCTAAAGAGTGATAATAGATGCATTATATTACTGCTATCCATTCTGCATCATATCACCTCTAGTCTTTGAATAACCAACTTCACACATACACACACTTCTGCTAACACGATATCGGGTGTAAACCAACAATCAGTAAATTTATTGATTTATACCAGTGCATGTTCTTACGATCGTCAACTGTTTTGAATTCATATTGTTAGTCTAGTCGAAAATATACAACAACTGAGACATTGACGCAGTTTCTGTAAAACATATCCAAGTCACTTGACTAGCTGACTGCAATCCATTTTGAAAACTGTCTATAATTAGTTGTATGTGTACAGTTAATGCATTATCTTACCAGTACATATTTCATTTCTTTTTCAGGCGATCGTTTTGATACGCATAGGAATACTTTCACTATCGATTTCAAAGAAAATTATTCCTTCATCTTTATCTCATTGAACATTTACTAGTAAGGAGAAATTAAACATTGTAACAGAAAAGAAAATGTCACACTCTACTAATCAACTGCATATCTGTATGTTAGGTAGTGGTAACGTTGGTAAAAGTGCTCTAACATTACAATATATGTATGATGAAGTAAGATCTATTTATTTGTATATACTATCAGATTGTTTAGTTTGTTGAAGATTATGAACCGACCAAATCCGATTCTTATGTGAAAAAAATCAACATAGATGGTGTAAGTGTGAATGTCTCAATCTTAGACACAGCTGGTAAGTAAGTATTAGTTAGGAAGTGGTGATTACTTTCACAATGTTTAATATATACAGTTGTATTTTTGTAACTAAATTAATCGAATGTCGCAGACGGTTTAATCATGAAACTTAAATTGTCATTCTAGATAATCTCATCGACACAAACTCCAGAAAGAAGTGAATCATAAAGTTTTCTCCACAAGTTACTTAGTAGCTTGTTCTGATAACCTTGTGTGTGGTTGGTTAATTCTGCCAATTCTTATTTCGAAATAAATTTGAAGACAATAACAAGACAGCAGAACTAACCAATCACACACAAGGTCATCAGAACAAACTACCCAGCCAATTGTGAATAAGAATCCCACAGCTTACTCCTTTCTAGAGTCTGTGCTGATAATGTTGTCTAGAATGACAATGAAGCTTCATGATTAAACTATCCAGTTAAGAGAATACAACACCATCAAAATTATACTCCTGTGCTACAAATATTGTAGGAATCTAAGATTAATGTTTAACTGAGATAATACTGTCGGAGTGATTTTTCTCCAGCAATTTACCAATTAGACTATTTGTTTATTTGACGTTCAAGGATCTCTGAATACTGTATTACATGTAATATTTATGGTTCACTATCCCAGCGTTTTGAACACAAATTTGGTATACTGGGTGATGATTGAGGGTGAGATGAAAATTTGAACCACGGCTAGATTCGAACCAGCGACCTCCAGGTTACCGGTTCAGCGCTCTAACAACTAAGCTACGAGGTCCAACTGCTGACCAGATTTTTATTCCACTTCAGTCACCAAGGGTGCAGTTAAATAAAAATCAGGTCAGCATTTGAACCTCGTAGCTCAGTTGTTACAGCACCAGGCCGGTAACCCGGTGGTCGCTGGTTTGAATCCGGCCGTGTTCCAAATTTTCATCTCACTATCAACCATCACCCAGTATAAAATACTAGTCTGCCAAACTACCGTTACTTCAGATTATCAGACGATAAAATATCAGTTAATTATTGTTTCACGATATCTGATATATCTGAATAGGCATCTGTCCTGTGCCATTTCTATATATAATGACGAGATCTCAATAAGCTTACGTTACTATACCTGACACATGGCCTGAAACTTCTGGGAGTGATCATACATTGAATTGATGAAATCTACTGTTTGGATAATAAATTACTCAATCACTTTACTGCTTGATTTTCGATCAGTTATATTACATTGTTGTCACTTGTATTATGCCATTGGTGATTGGACCGAATTTGGTTGGTCTGTGTTGGAATAAAGCCTCCTGTGAGGATGCCTTAATAACTCCTGTGCTTCAATTTTATGTTGACGACGGGAGGAGGTACGTGCGGCTGACGAATCCCGGATGGGATGAAAGGCACGTCTTCGACCCCGCTGTTAGTCACTATCCATCACTACTTGCATTACAGGTTCGTATTTCAGCTCATACACTCTTGCTTAGGCAATTCTATACTTTCATAAGCCTTTACATATTAGGAGTAGCTTGTAGAGTCTTAGAACCACTTGAAGGTTCCCAACTAAAAATTAAATACCTGTTCAGTCCTTCTTGGTGTTAGATTGTTCTTCAGATCATGTTAGAGAACATTTTACAGTTTAATAGAATGAGAATCTAAGCCCTTTTGCAGTACATTATGTACACGTACTCTTATTCAAGCAAATTGGAATACTCTAGTTATAAGAACTGGGGCCGCCATGATTTTAAACAAACTAAAAGTCAGTAACGCTTTGTAATGCATGAAGAATGGGACAAAGGAAATATCGCATTATTTTACAATGAAAAAAGTCTTCTACAGACATCATCAACTGATAACACGTTAAATGTATATCAAGTAACTTCGCGAAAAAAGAGAATGAAGTAGACTCGCCTAGTTAACCAGAAACAATTCATGACAAGGCAGAATTGTGAAACTATGCCTAATTTTCAGCGACGGAATGAATTACACATTATACTATAGAAACTATTATCCTTATAATCTTCATAGCTCCTGAAAACGATCTGAGCTCACTAAACAGCAACCTTGAAACCATGCTCCAAATTATACATTGAGCTTTTAATGTCCGCACACTCCGCTAAATCGGCCAACAAGTTTCTATAAGGAAAACTCTAGCTTGCATGATTTTGTTAGTTGGGTATGCAAATACTGAATTGTAAATACTCTATACTGTTTCAAATTGCCTTCAAATTGGTATATAGGATCTGTGAGAATTCTCTGTTTTTACTTGTATTATCTCATAGTTGATTAGACCTAATTGACCGGTCTCTATTGAAATGTTGGCTCTTATGAGTTCGGGTTTAGGTGGGAACAGCACCACTCACAAGAGGGTACGTACATTCAACCGTTGATTAGTAGTACTTTCCTTTTCTTGGATCCACTGTTTAGTTTTCTAACCCTACTATTTAAACATTTGACTAAATCTGCCTTAACTTACATTGAATGAGATGACCTGAAGTCTAGACATCTGTTGATGTGTAGCCAAACCATCATCTCTTCTTTGTTTCACCTTACAATCTAACATGTCTAATTCTCCTTGTTCATTTTCTAGCTGATAAGTGAACTGGATTGAACCTGCTATTGAGTTTATATGATGGGTGAAGCAGCTGTTGATATCTGAATTTAACACATTGAATATATCATCCATACATCTCCATCATATGTTAGGAGTAGGACCGACTGTATGTAAACATACACGTTCCTAAGTATGATTAGGAATATTAGTGATTCCATTGATACTCTTTCTGTTTGTTGATGTAGTTTCCCTTGACTTCTCTGGTTAGATACAACTGTACATCTAACACAATTTCTTCAACCAATAGATTAGTTTTATAAATAATTTGCTGGTTTCCGATTATCTACAGGACGATTTAGATTGATATCTTAATATGATGGCTTGTTACATCAAAGCAAACCATTGGCCATCATATTCTATGTGCATATGAATAAATCTTAGTTTCAACTAGTAGGAATTGATAAGCGGAGTATTCGAAATGTCTCTCATAGAATAGAGAATAATCCTAGTTAGTACTTGAATAGTTTATAGATTTTAGTATTTATGAAATAAACCTCTTAACCCAATTGGATTGTGTACTCTATGAACATGGATAGTACCATCAATTCTACTGGGATTATTAGTTGTAGGCATTTAATTTAATCATTCAGTCTCATCCAGAAATGGTTTCATACGTTTTGCTAACAGCAAATCTTAACCTTCGTTTTAATATTATGCTGTTAGATTCTCCTCTGTATGGTAACGTGATATAAACGCATTTCTTCAAAACAGAGTACAGATTAGGTTTGAATCCTGGTTGATTTTTGCAGCGGTTTATGAACTTCAATGGATATCCATTTTCCACTAATGTTCCCATTACTGTTTTGATATCATCATCCACTGAGTCTTACATATAAATATGCTGGATCCTTTTAAATAGGCAAGTTACCAAACCTCGGTTGTATGGGGTTAGATAAAAGCTATAGAAACTTAAATACTGACCTGTTCAGTTGAGTATCCTTAAGATCGACCGCTTTATTGAACCATCATTTCTACGACTTAGGAGTCTATCCAAGAACGTCAGACGGTTTTCTTTCTCTTCTTCACATGTTATGTTGTTTTGTATGATGTTAAATCTTTCTAACAAACATGTCGCATCTTCATTCTTGTCATATGTCATGATTATATCATCAAAATATCTCTTATAGAGAGTAATTTTACTGATGAAATCGCCGGTCAAGCCTTCAATGTATGACATGTAAATATCATCTAGCAATTATCCTCTAAGGCACTTCCCATAGCCACACCATTTAATTGTCGAAAATGTTCACCTTCAAATGTGAAATAAACTTTATCAATACACAACAATAACAGCTCTCTCAAACATGTTGAGGGTATAGGGAAAGAAGGATTACTAGGAGATATATGGTCACAAAGAATGTCAATGGTTTTAATTAGGGGTACATTAGTAAATAAGGAGTTGACATCAAATGAATACAACCTCCTATCTTTGATATGAATATCACTTCCAGTTTTCATATATAATTCCTTAACAATTAAATGTGTGATCAAATTGTTCGAAATGTATAGTGCTAATATATCACATTTCTAGATAATCTACGTCTTCTAATTACATTATCCAGATTAATATTCTGTTATCATTTGGTAGATTATTCAGAGCTGATCTCTATGGATTTGTTAAACTTCGTCTTGTCTTCTTTTATTTTTCCTATGCTAATAAATAGCTTAGTTGAGTTTGTTAAACGGTTATCTTGTCTACTGAGCACAATATCACTACTATGCTAGGTTGACCTACAGTAAGAATGTATACTAACTTATACATTCGATCCAAACATTGCCAGTTTCATAATCCAGGGACCAATGAATTCGCTGTGGAAAAACCAGCACTTCATTTTTACTTCCATATCTTTTACTTATCTGTCAGTGCTGTATAATTTCAAAAATCAACACTTTTATACTGGGTGAAATGAAAATTTGAACCGCGGCTGGATTCGAACCAGCGAACACCAGGGTTTCCTGCTCGATGCTCTGCCAACTGAGCTACGAGGTCAGTCACCAACCAATATAAATAATTAGTCTACTAAACTATGTCTATCTCAGATAGTCAAGTGAAATTCAACACTTTTGTCTGTAAGGCATCACTACAATATTCCTTGTCACATATTTCTCATATGTAGAAGCATATTTCGCTTTGTAGCTTGACTTATGAGAAGCTCCATTTTCATTTGATAAAGTGTGTGAGTGTATATAAGTATCTTGGCAATTTGCGTCATTCTTGCTGGGTTATCAGGCATTTTCTTATGCTTTATCAGCTCTTATGAATGGGTAGAAAGATGAATGTATGTACAAACCAGTTTTTTTCAAAGTGTAAGAACCAGGCGATAAAAATAATTCCCAAGAATGCTTATTTATCAGTAGTTAAATTAGTGAATGTTGAAATTTATCACTCAGCTTTTCATTCTTCTGGGCTGTAAACATCAG